ACAACAATATCAAACATCATCAGCATATTCCATGGTAAGCCAGGAAAACGCAACAACTCTTCTGGCTAAACAAAGACTACAAGCAAGTGAGGCTCACACGCGCGAGGAGAACACGAATATTGGCAAGAGACGATTACAAGCTTGTCAAAGGATGGCTGTTAAACGAGCTCAAGGTACACAGAAGGAAGCTGAAAGACAGCGGTTGCTTGCAAGGGAAAGAAGTGCTTCCAGAGCAGCTGCCTTTACACCAGAACAAGCTGAACGAGAACGTACCTGTGCACGAGAAAGAAGTGCAGCTAGAAGAGCTCCTTTAACATTGGAAGAAATCGAAAAAACAATGAGAGCAAACTCGTGAGAAAGTTGGAGCATGGAGAGCTGCTCTTACACCGAAAGAAATCCAGCTACAACAAACACTTGCTACTGGAAGAACTATGAGTGAACGAGCTATAACGTCACCAAAAGAAGCTGAAGAACAGCGCGTGATAGATCGCAAAAGAAGTACCGCAAGACGAGCTGCTTACATACCTGATGATCACGAACGTCAGTGCGCATCTATTCGTTAGAGAAAGCGGCTTCGAAAAAGTGGCAAGCACCAACAAGAAAGTAACGACTTTGAATGGTCAAAACGTATTGATATAGAACGTAAGAAAAACTGTCTAAAGAACTTTATTCAACATATGTCGATGAGTTCGCTGCAAGAAGATGTTTGCGATATTTGTAACATTCGCTGCTACAAACGTGATCTCCGCCACATACCGTTCAGTCAAATACCGCCTGTTGAATTACTGAAAGTACCCGATGATTTTTATGGCATAATTTCGGAAATGCAGGAAACACACCAATTTCAGTCACATGATAATCTTAACATGAGGGACGATCCTGCCATGGTTTTGATTCAGACAGAAAAAGCAGGAGGTTGGTCTTGCTAATACGTAAACTAACAAAGTAAATAATCTTGTTTTTTAATTTCAGATACAAATACTCAATCAACAATGACTAAAACGTTGTTTATTTGTGTAAACGGTATCGTTTTTTTATACAGCAGGATTGCATAAAACTGTTGAGAGAAAAAGACGATATTCGGTTCACTGTGATATTTGTTCATAGTATTGGTCATCTCTAATAAAAGAGAAAATACCGAAATTTTCGCCTGCCAACAAAATATGGGTTGGAGATGTCCCAGAAGAACTACAAGGACTAACAATTCCTGAACAAAAACTGATTGCTCTTTATAGACATAATAGCTGCATTGTCAAGTTACATTCGTCTTTTCATTCGACAAGTACAGCTCAGTCAGCTTTAAAGGGGAATTGCATTAGTTTTTCGCAAGATGTTATTAACATAGCTACTACCTTACCATTAGATTTAGATGGTCTATGTGATTCTCTAAAGACAATCTTTGTTGGATGTCGTCCTCCGCAACAAAATCAATTAAAAAATGTTTTGACCGTTCGAAAAAAGAAAGTTTTCGAAGCACTTCAATGGCTGAGACAGAGGTAATAGTCAAAAATGTCCGTGCAAAAATGTCCTTGACGAAATGTCCTTGACGAAATGTCCTTGGCTTTTGGTCCTCGGACAAAATGTCCTCATAGAAAATGTCTTTCACATAAAATGTCCTTTCATGACCAACATGCCTCGAAGAAGTAATCCTTAAAAAATGTTCTTTGACTAGAAAAGTGGATAATACTAGTTGAAGATGTTAATGATGAGATTTGATCTAGGAGAACGTTTAAGATTTTATTGAATTAATCATTCGGCACGAAAAATGAAAGTTTTTCTAATAATTCTTATACTGTAATTGTATTGTTTTTAAATCGATCGTATAATTCATTCGTTCGATCTTCAGCTATTCTTGTTTATAATCGTTTCGTACGTGGACACATTTTACCGTTTATTTGGATGATCATACTATGGATAGTATCCACTTCTTTTTGAATAGCATCGGTAAAGTACCAAATATTGGGATGACATTTATCCAAGCGATTGCTAAATGTGTTATTATAGCCTACAAGTATGTGTCAATTACAAATTTGTAATTATCATACTTTTTAAACATACCTTCACTGAAATTGTTCGTTCTATCAGGAATGTCAAATACGTTCCACATTGACGTTCGTTGCAACCAGTAATTATTGAAGTACTTGAATAATGGAGCTAATTCATCACTTTCATATTCATTTAAATCATTTTGAAGATCATTAAATAATGTCGAAACAAATTGTGCAGGTACTAAAGCCAATGCCATTATTCGACGAATAACATTACGAATCACCATATTATCCATATAAACGGATGCTAGACCGCACGATTGAACATTTCTGTAAATCGCCTTTGTAAAGTGAAAGTAACATCCTTTTTGCGTGGTGTTCTCTGTAAACTAAAAAAATAAAGACATTTTAAAAAGAATTATTGAAAATTTCGTCGATGACTATATATTATACCTCAAGACTAATTGCTTTTGTAAGACCAGGTTCAAAGTCAGTCATAATTGTTTTAGGATCGAATTTCTTATGTAATCGTTCTGCTCCGTTAAATAATACGTTGAATAGATGAACATATGTTGGTGCTTTTCGATCAGGCAGCAACACATATAATACCGGCACACCTATTACAAAAGAAAACGTATCATATGATAAGAAAATAATGTATCAAAGTTAGCTCACATGAACCATGGAGAAATGCTTGAATAATAAAAACTTGCTAGAACTGTGGTGGTGAGGTACTAAATGTACCATCCATATGAAGTTTTTGACTGTTGAATAACAAGTTCAGTTGTATATTTGACGACCAAATCAACATTCTTCCTTCACATCGCATATGTCCTGATTCTTTTAGTTGAAATTTAAGATCACCACTGTCGTACAACAACAAACGATCTTTATCACAAAAATCTTTTGTGAAAGATTCCGGTAAGAAAAAAGACGATGATTGTGGTACTGGAAGAGTTGCTTTACGACGCTGATGTACCAGATTATGACCTGAAACGAACATTAAAAACAAATATTCAAATCTATGACGTGGATGGAAAAAGAAATATCATACCTAAATTATTAATGCGAGGTAAAACTGCTAAAGCTTCGCCTGTCAACAATGCTTGTCGTACTTCTTGTTCGGCGATTTTTTGCAATGATGTTGTTTCGTTTTCGGCCCTTTTTCGCATAGCTTCTCGTAAATTTCGTACTTCGGTTGCAGATGGATTTGGTAAATGAGAATAGATAGATGATTTTCCACCATAACGTATAAATTCATTTTCAAGAGTTGTGTGTACAAGTACACGACACGTTCTATTGGCACACCGCCAAAACTTCACAGTTTGGTCTTTACTAAAATTTTTCAGCTGGAAATTGTAACCTTCAATATCCAACATTAGTCTTCGTTTATTTGACACTGTTTTATTAACCGTAGGTTTCAATAAATCAGTCGATAATGATGATGAATATTCAATTAATGATGAGGATGATGATGATGATGACGAACATTCAGTTGATATTGACGAGGATAAAGATGATGCATCTTCATCCATCATCATTTCGTCCTGAGCTGCCATTTCAAAAAGATTTCGTTATACTTCGTTGTTTTCTCTTTTAGATATTAAGTAAACAACCAATCGCAGTTCCAAAGTATATTTTCCTCTATATTGGCTCACTTTATACAGAAAGAATTCTTTAGATAAAGATTGATTACGTATCTATATATACTTGATTTACAACGCAACGCCATCTATGTTCAATACATCATACGCACACAAAAATAATAAACTAATCCAAAAGATATTATTGTAGATAAAGAAAACTTTTCAAAGGGCATTCTTCAAGAGACATTTTCAAAGGGACATTTCATATCGAGGACATTTATTAAAGGACAAAAGGTTTGAGGACCTTTTGTCCGAGGACCAAAAGCCAAGGGCATTTCGTCAAGGACATTTTTGCAAGAACATTCTTGACTGTATTCGAGACAGAATAATCCTCTATACTGTAATGTTACAATTAATCAATCAATAATCAACAAATTACCTGAAGATGATGTACCAGAGTGTTTGTGGAGAACGATGGAAATTTCTGCTAATGTAGAAGCAGCTGAAAATGAAAGAGTAAGTTACATTCCTGATCCGTTAATCAATGGATCTGAGTTTAAGAATACAACAGCTATATCCATAATCTCAAGGTAGGAAAAATAGGCAAATTGATATTTTTGTACTGATACTGTTTATGTTATAGTGCTGTTTTAGCTGTCAATTGTATCAAAGTGTCATCTGACGAAATCGCTGAACATCTTTTAGAACGAATCAAAGCACAAGCGCCAGAAAAAACATACGGAAAAGATATCGAGAAAAACTCTACAAACGACATTGTTTACTTAATTCCTCCTGGCAACAAACCGGCTAATGAATATTCTAATCCAAATCTTTTATTAGGAATCTTTCCCACCCTATTTCCATATGGATGCGGTGGGCTTGAGGATGGTTCTCGACCGATTCGAATCAATTTTCGTGAGCATCTCAGATATCTTCTTTCGTATGCAGATCGCCGCTTTGCACAACACTACTCATTTATATTTGTTGTCTTCAATATTTTACAACGCCGAACAGCATGTTTTCACGCCCAATTAATGACAACAAAATCGTGGTTTCAACAATCTGCACAAGTTCTTAACTCATTAAAATCTGAAGGTATAGCAGCAGCCCTTATTAATATCTAAAAAGTACCTTATTCAAAAGTTACTGATGAGAGGATAAATACGTTGATGAAGCACATCAAAATAATTGGTGATCATGTCATGGGCTCAGCTCATTCACGATCAGCTCTTCGTACAAAAATTCATTCTTTGTGTTTTTATCTTGGTCTTCCTAGTCATTTCCTCACAATCAACCCGACTGACATCCATAGTCCAGTGGCACTTTATTTTAGAGGTGTCGATCTCGACCTTGATAATGTGCTGTCAGAAGTCCTGCGTACAAGTTATGAGCGTGCTCAAATTATCGCGACGCACTCTGTTGCAACTGCAAAATTCTTCAATTGTTTAATAAAAATGTTCTGAAAAGTCTAGTGGTCGGCGGTGTGCTCGGTCCTATAAAAGCGTATTTCGGCACTGCAGAGAATCAAGAAAGAGGATCACTCCATTTACATCTCTTGATTTGGCTTGATCATGAATATACTCCAGCACAATTGAAGGAAAATATTCAAAATCAACATTTTCATGAAAATTTACAAAAAATATTTAGATGATATCATAGAAGAACCTTAAGATTCGTTTCGAGGTAATATATTTAACATTGTTGGAATCTGTGATTTGAAGTTTTTATATTTGCCTACTTGATGCTGTTTTACACCATGATAATGTATCACTGCCTTGCCTTGAACTTGAGCTTTCAGAACATTTTCAAAATTTTCATTAATGCAAAACATATTTCATTCCAATCACTTATTCTTACCATATATTTATGAGACTTCTAATTTTTGTACTTTTGAATATCAATATTCCTTTATAAGATGAAACTAACGCCGGAACAAGTACAACAAGTGATAAGAGAACATTAAACAGTGAGCTTTGAAGCATTTAAGAACCTTTAATTATAAGTTTCACTTTATTTTAGGCGAAACTGAACCGATAGCAAGTGAAGTTATACCAGCATGTCTCCCAATACCAAATCCTGCATTTGAAGACTTTGATCAAACGTTTCGCAAAGATATAGTTCAGTTGGTCGAAACCTGCAATATTCACAAGCATTCTGCGACTTGCTATAAATATTCTAAAGGCAAAAATGACGGTCCAAAAAGTTGTCGAATGCGCATGCCACGCGCACTAGTGAAGGTTTCTAATGTTGATCTTACGACGGGTCAAATAACCATGCGTCGATCGCACCCGTGGATCAATAACTTCAACGAATGGTTCTTAAGTGCGTGTCGATCGAACATGAATATTAAGTTCATCTGGAGTGGTAACGACGCTAAAGTATTAGTTTACTACATAACTGATTATGTAGCACAGCCTACTCTGGCTTTCCACGATATGTGTGCACTAGCACAACAAGGTATCAAGTCTATTGAGCAGGAACGAACTTCTAATACAACAGATAATATTGTTGACAAATCGCGTAAACTAGTATTACGCTACTTCAATATGATTGCTTCACAACAAGAAGTTTCAGGTGTTCAAGTTGCATCATATCTAATGAACTACGGTGACCACTATACAACACATACATTCAAGAATCTTTTTTTCATTTCAATCGAAAATTATCTACAAAGAGAGTTATATAAGGCACGAATTAACGAAGAAAAAATAGCTGAAGAGAAAATAGATGGTAAAACCTTTTAAAATAATTGCATAGATTTTTTAATGTGTGGCTTTCTAGAGATTTCATCGCCTTTCTACGATGAACAAGGAGAAGATAAAAATGAGATCGAAGAACAATTTTTATTAAAGCCAACAAAATCCAACAACGGTGATCAGTATGTCTTAGTCAATACTCGTCTTCACTATCAGCACAGATCAAAGGATCTGAGTGCATTATGCTTATATGACTTTGTGAGCCATTTTCACAAGAAGGTTATCGACAAATCGGATCGTCATTTGCTAAAGAATGTAACCGATTCTCAAGGCCGACAATTATCTACAGAAGGAACGAAAATGAATGAACGTCATACATTTGACAGCGTACATTCACAATCAACATCTCATCTCATAATTAAGCGTTCCATTCCAGTAGTACCAGTTCTGATAGGTCCTCAAATACCTCGCCGCGAACGAGAAGAAACACATGAACGTTATTGTCGCGCATTGTTAACATTATTCGTTCTATGACGATCAGTTGAGGACCTTTGTGCAGTGAATGAGACATGGTCAGAAGCATTGGAAGCTCGAAGATTATTGATCTGTTCCAACTCGCATAAGATTATAGAAAATATAGAACTTTTGCACGAATGCAAACACGATCGAGATGAGCACCTTCATCAAGTTCTTTTAGAAGCTCAAAATGAAAACAGCATTGACCCTATTTTGATGCCTAACTACTATGAAGGTGATGAAAATGCAGACGAGGATGATCCGGAACAACTTTTACAAATGCTCTCCATCGTAAATGAGACCACTACAAACGCTTACTCTGCATTGACAGTTACTCACGAACAACGCTATGTTCATGATGCATTACAAGCAATTGATAATACAGATAGATTTGATCTCACATAATAATAGAAATTGTAAGCAGGATGTTACCTATGATGCAATTCAAGTAATAAAATAAGCCGAATGCAATAAAAAAAAACGTTATAAATGCGACAGTATACGATACAAGTTCATTCCTAAGGATTTCGAATTGGTTTTGACCGAAAAGATCTTGAACGGCGATCGTTCTTCATCGTTTAGGACCATTTAAGATGTTGTTTCCAACGATCTGGATGATTAGGACATTCATTGCAAAACTGCTTCAATAGCTCATAAAGCAAATCTTTGTTTTACAAATTCAACATGACTAATTTTCATATTGTGTCGTATGGTTTGTAAGTAATCAAAAGAGTTCTATAAAATATAGTCAATATTAATATTTCAATGGTTTTGGATTGACAATGAAAGATTTTTTGTTGGAATCGACAACTACTTCCGATAGATGGTTCTGCTTTACGGTTTATATAAAATCATAGAAACAAAAATGAAAAATAGTTATTTATTTTATTTATATTAATTAATCAAAAAGTATTTTAAAATATTTTAAAAATGATCAATTAATCACTTAACACTCCATTATGATTTGTCTTATATCCACAACGTATTTTTATTTGTTCTTGTTTTTCAGTGGTCATAGTTTGGCACATTGACAAAATAAAGGTTAGAAAATTACCATTTAAAATGAGCGATCACGACGATTATGATCGAGATGATGAGTCTTATGCTAGATCATCTCGAGAAAGACGACGTAATCATAATGATGATAACGGTAGCAGTCATTCTCATCGATGTAAGTTTATCACTATTAAAATATTGACATTTATTTATTTATAAAATAATTCAGCATCGAGCAAACGTCATTCAAAATCAAGTACAAAAGATATATCAGGTATTGGTAAAAAAGTAGCTGAAAAAAGTGGTGGCCTTTTTTCACCTGAAGATTGGATGTGTAAAAGGTAATTATTAGATTTTTAGTCTCGTACATATATTCTCTCATATTTCAGTTGTGGAAATATTAATTGGGCACGTCGAACAACTTGTAATATGTGTAATATGCCAAAATTTCAAAAGGCTGAAGCACGAACAGGTAATAAATTTTTGTTTTTTTTTTTGTGAAAGAAAAAATAAAATTATTTAAACATTTCAAGGTGCTGGTGGTGGATATAATGAACGTGATAGTGTTGAATATAACGAACGTCATGATGAATCAGATGGCGAATATGATGAAGTAAATAATATCGTATTGATAAATAAGTTTGTCTAATTTTTTTTTATTTTAGTTTGGACGTAAGAAAAAGAAATTTCGTAGTATAACAAAAGATAAAGATGAAAAATCAAGTGATAAAAAACGAAGTACAACTAATCCGAAATCTCGATCATTGGGAGAGGTAATATTCGTACAGTGAGTATTTTAGAGACTTATAGTTTTTCTTTATTTCTACAGAACATATGATTTTTATATATGTTTTTTCTTTTCTTGTATTTAGAATAATGATGAAGAAGGTGGTGGTGGTGGTGGTGGTAATGATGATGATGAAGAAGAAGAAGATTTTGACGCTTCAAAAGTATAACAACAAAAGAAATTTAAATAATTCAAGTTTTTTTTTTTCCGTTTTGTGTGTGGTATTTTAGTATGCATTAGACACTGATGATGATAGTGATGAAAATAATAAAAAACATCAAAAAGCAAGTTCATCAAGTAGTAATAAAAAATCATCTAGTAGTAGTAGTCATGGAAGACGAAATTCGTAAGTCATTAGTTATTTTATTTTAGTTATAAATTGAAATTTCTAATTTTTGTTTATAGACGTTCTCGTTCAAATTCTGCATCATCGGATAGTCGTTCATCATCGCGTGATGGTTATCATCGTTCATCACATGATAAAAAATCGTAAATATCTTAAAATATATTCATATGATTATCTTTTGCTTTACAAACCATTTAGTAGCCGATATGATAAAGCATCTTCTTCAAATACACATAAACGTTCAAGTTCACCACGTAGTTCAAAACGAAGTGATGATTATTATGAACAACGACGATCAAGGTAGTTTTTTAATATTATTTCATAATAAATTTTTGTTTTTTTTTGCTTTCTTAAATAGATCTCGTTCACCTGCGAATACATCAAGTCGAAATCAACAAAAGAGTTATCGTCATTAGTATACAATAACAATAAAGACATTTATCGTATCATATTCGGTTTTGTGTGTAAAAATAAAAAAAAACATTTATGTTCAAAATAAAATAAAAAAAGAAAGCTTGTGCATCAGTTCAAGATAATATTAGGTTTTATGGATGGACAAACATTTGATTGAAAATGAATTAAGCACCGTTTTAATTGTTCTTTTTTAAAGTTCATTGTTTTTTGTCCTTGGTTGGAAAAGAATTTGTTTAGAAAACTTCTGACAATTTCTAAGAAGGCATATATTATACACTTCAATCATCTACATATGATTAATGAAAGATGTGTTCTGATGTTGCTTAAATATATTAGAGGACGTAAAAAGAATCTTTTTACAAATATGAAATTTATTTTCCTAAGAAATGTGAAGCATCAAGTCAAATATTTCTTTGTTTGTTTTTTTTTTGAAGAAAAATGACATAATCTATGATATTATTACTAGTCGTATGAATTATAAATACAATAGGCCAGCCAAAAGCCGGAAGAAATCTATCTAATGAATAAATTATTGATTAGTTTTTCTTTTTCTTATATCTTAGAAAATAACTGGTGACAGCCATAAAATTATTATTTGACAGGACATTATAAATTTTTATTCTTCAATAAAATCAATCTCATTATATGGAACATTATGCCGAGTAAAAAGTAAAAATAGCTTTTTTTTTTCTTAAAATAGTGCATATGACTGACTTCAATTATGGTTATTATATAATAGTAGTTCTACTTTTGCTTGAATTGTCATTCATTATATTAATGTAAAAAAAGTGAACCACTATTATTAAATGGGTTGACACTATGCACGAGTACTTTTTACCAGTAATTCAATAGATAAGCACAAAAGGGAAATATTCTAGTTTCGATAAATCAACAAATACTAATAAACATAATCCAAGTTTTCTTTTTTTTTTTATATTGGCTATCATTTCCTGTTGTATTTTAGCTAGTTTATGTATTTCAAATAGTCAAGTTTTTTTTTCTCGTTATATTTCATACAAAAAGCTTTTCCATTTCCCTTGATTGCCGCCGGTAACTGTTCGGTGTTTCTATAATGTACAAAAATAGTGACAGGAAATGCGTATGCGCTTGCAATTTCAAATACAGTATTGATCGTATAAGTAATTACTTGTTGAGACTAATCTTTTCATGGATAGACGAGAAGAAAAAAGTTCAATGTCAAATACAACAAAAAGCTTTTTCTCACTTATCCTCATGAGACATTCTAGCGTTGACGTGAATAATATAAGATACCAACTCAACATGTCACAGAGTGTTGGTTCACCTTGTCATATAGCAAAAGATAAAAAAAATCTATGGAATAGACACAATGATTACATAAGATTCGGCATCATGGATGTTCACTTTCACTCATTTATTCAGTCTTGAACTGTCAAAATGACAAGAATATAGACATATATATATATATAAAGTATCAGCATGCCAGTATGAAGTGTATTGATATAATGAAAAAAAAATACATATATGACAAGTAAAAGTATAAAAGGTTCCTCTTGAAAAAATTGTTACAATCTTGATTGTACGCAAAACAAGTGATCCATAGTCTTCGATCTCTCAACAAACACACTCTATATACATAAAGCAAAACAAAGAAGAAAAAAAAACCTCTTTCCTATTTTGTCCTTCATTGATAGTATGTGTTCAAAACATCTGTTACACCGCCCGTAAGCACGTTATGTCGTAATTAGAAATAGCCAAGCTATATATCAATGTAAAAGATAAACGATGGCAATATTGTCGAAGGCTAGCGAATCTGTGAAAACACATCATTAACGTCATGTATCCGTCATTATTCGGTATGTTAAAAAAAAATAAATGAACTATCATGATGCGTGTAGAGAAGAAAACGGTAGACACAATTGAACAAACAGTTCCAATAACAATTATGATGGTAGCATTGCTTCTAATGCTGTGTGTATTTTTACAAGCATTATTCAATTCCCTACTGATAGACAAAAGACATGATCATGATTCTCTTTTCTATACATATACATATATACATATATATATATACGTATGTTGCGTCATTATGCGAACGTATTCATGTCATTGTCTCGAATTAACAAATGAAGACATATGCATTCCATCAGATAAAATCAAGGCATTCACCTGCATTAAACAAGACAACAACGGATATATGCGCACATGCATAAGCATATGAAAATTACATTGATGTTTTATTTTATATTCTTGCATCATACATAGTCAGACTAGCAATTATCATTGTTGAAGATTTTTTTTTTTTCTTCATTTTTCTTTTCTTTTTTACGTAATCATCTCGAGAGGGGCCATCATAGGGAGGCTGATACTTTTTGTTCTATGTCTTTTTTTTTTCAAGTGCCAATTGCTACGATTTGATGTATTGGGCTATTCTATCTATGATGATAATCGCTCATCTCAAGCATAAAATCCATCTGTTGTATGTTCTCTCTTCTAACTATTCAATTCGATGACTATCATAAGTTAGTCATATAATAGGAACAAAAGAAAAAGAATGAGAAAATAAACAATATACAAACAATAAAAGTCTACATATGAAACACTTAAACGATCATGTAGTCAGCTATCTCAAAAGTTTATCAAAGGTGTGACTTTGTTTATGTTCATTGAATTGATCATATTATGTCAATCATCATCTCCTTATTCGACATTCAATATATGTATATCTGTACACATGCATGCTGTCTAATAACATTGCTCATGTCCTTCATACAGTACTCAATGATAGATCGTATGAATATGCTGTCATAATTTCTTTTTGTTCGACTTTGGTCACCAATTCAATGGAAAGAAGATGAGCCAGAGCAAAAAAAAAAAGAAAAGAGAAATAAAGAAAAAAAAGTAGGAAGAAGGTAAATCGAACTTAATGAGAGTAACCGACAAGAAATATAAAGAGTGGTAATCAACCATCCATTTAGACTTGATGGGTGACAAAGCTCACTTTTCTTTTCAAGACACCGGTCAGTCATTCATATCGCACACGTCCTTACTCTCTTCCTGTATTTCTCTCTTTTTTTTGCCAGAAAAAAAAAAACCTCAACGAGAATGGTTTTTTTTCCCTTTTCTTCTTCTCCTTCATCACGATAGTACTACTATGAGACTAAGTGTTAATTCTCTTCTCTCATTCTTATTACTCTCTATTCTGTCTGTATATATATATATATGTGTGTGTTCAATATGTCGTATATTAATGAGGAAATCCTTTTCTTTCTTTTTGCTATTACAGATTGTTTCTATTCACATGCAAACAGTACAGTACAATGTAATAATTATATTTGTTTCTTTTAAATTAGCCAAGTAATTACAAAACTAGAAAAAAATGTTTCAAATTTTAATTATTCTTAATTTATTTTATTCGGTATTTACAATACCAAAAGAATCAATACATATTATGGAAGATTTACCAATTGGTACATCAATATATACATTTTCAACAGATGGTTGTAAAACAATAAATAATGCTGGTACATATCGTTTTGTTGATAGTCAAAAAAATTCAAATGATTTTTTTCTTATTGATCCATATACGGGACGTATAACAACAAAAAAATTAATTGATCGTGATGATTTTTGTCTTCGTCGTATGTGTTCATGTTCAAAATGTGAAATAATACTTGAAGTTTTATGTGTTAATATGGGAAAAATATTTTTCAATGATTTATCTATTATTATTGATGATCATAATGATCATTCACCACAATTTTCAAAATCATCAATAACAATTGATATTTTAGAAAATATACCTATTGGTTATTTAATACCAATTGATATTGCTATTGATCTTGATTATGGAAATAATTCAATTCAAGGTTATAATCTTTTAGAAGATAATTCAACAAATAAAATTCTTAATGCATTTCAAATTGAATATACAAAAAAGAATGATTTACTTGCTTTACGTCTTATTAAAATACTTGATCGAGAATTATATCATTCTTTAGAATACATTATACAAGCATATGATGGTGGACAACCACAAGCACTTATAGGTCGTTTAAATATTTATATAAATATTCTTGATGTCAACGATATGTCACCAGTATTTGATCGTTCTGAGATTAATATACTTTTAAGTGAATCAACATCAATTGGTTCATTGATTGCACGTGTACATGCATTTGATGGGGATACTGGTCTTAATGGCCTTGTTTATTATACAATTGTATCATTAGATCCTCCATCAAATGGAACATTTATGTTATCAAAAGAAACAGGAGAAATACATCTTGGTAAATCTCTTGATTATGAAAAAGAAAAATCATATCGAATAAAAATCAAAGCACAAGATAATGGACCACAACAAGTTTCAATACCAGCATTTGCTATGATTTATATTGAAATAAAAGATGAAAATGATAATTATCCATTAATTACACCAACATTTAATGATGATAGAATTTCAGGTGTTGAACATATATTAAATAGTACTATAATTACAATTCGTGAAAATCTTTCAAATGGAACATTTTTAGTAAGTAATTTTTCATATTGATATGCGTGACAAGAAAGATTTTTTTTTTGCTTGTTCCTCATTTATTGACCTTGATTGAATGTTAATCTTTTCTTTCTCTTGTAATTCTCAAAAGAAACATTTGTATGTGCGTGTTCGCATGATTTATTTTTAACCCTAAGTTTTTTCGATTTATATTAAAAAAAAACAACGAAAGTTAATTGTTATTGGTTTTTTTTCTCTTTTCAATAGGGCCATATCTCAATTAGTGATCTCGATAGTGGTAACAATGGTCTAGTAAGTTGGTCACTTGAGAGTAATGGATCAATTTCTATTAAAGAATTATTTAATAATGAAGCTTTTCTCATGTTTACTGCACGTATATTTGATCGTGAAGAACAATCACAATATGAAATTTCTCTTAAAGCACATGATCATGGTATTCAACCACTAACAAGTATATTAAATTTTACTTTAAAAATTTTGGATGAAAATGATAATACACCAATATTT